TGATCGCTATGCTGCCATCTGCAAACCTCTCCACTATGTGATTATCATGAACAGGACAAGGTGCCATCTCCTAGTCTTAGCTGCTTGGGCTGGTGGAGCCATCCATGCCTTTCCTCTATTTTCTACCGCAATTGATTTGCCTTTCTGTGGTCCTAATGAAATCGATCACTACTTTTGTGATATTTTTCCTTTGCTAAAGGTTGCCTGTACTGATGCCTACACCACTGGTGTCCTTGTGGTTGCCTTTTCAGGTATGGTTGCCTTAGTAACCTTTATTGTCTTATTTGTTTCTTATGGGATAATATTGTTCACTTTAAGAAATCTCTCCGCTGAGGGAAGACGCAAAGCCCTCTCCACCTGTTGGTCTCATATCACTGTGGTCATCTTATTTTTTGGGCCTGTAATCTTTATCTACCTTAGACCACCTACTACTTTTCCTGAGGACAAAATATTTGCTCTATTTTACACCATCATTGCTCCTATGTTCAATCCCCTAATCTATAGTCTGAGAAATTCAGAGATGAAAAAAGCCATGAGAAAGGTTTGGTGCCCATTATTATTTTCAAAGAAAGCACACAATTAATTTGAAGAAGTTTATGGGATAAGCAACTCTGAGAAAGAAAGGAGGGAGATACGAATGAAAAAGGCAGGGACTATCTCACAGGGTTTGTGAACCATTAGTTTCTCTAGCAGCATGAATGGAAGAAATAGGATTACAGGTTTAATGTAATCATTGAACAAGTAGTGATTCTTGCATACCAAAATTAATTGCAAACTAAGTTAATGTTGTGGGGAGTTAATGGTATTGGTAGGGGAACCATCATGAGAAACACCTGAGCCAAAGATAGTAAACAAATGTTATAACGATTAGTGAATTATTAAGGGAAATATTTGAATGACACTTTTATTAAAACATTGGGCTTAGAGGCCAGACTACACAGGACAGACATTCTTTGGTAGATCAGAAGTTGTAATCTAAAAAAGCAAACAGACAAGAAAAACTATAATTGAAAACTGAAAAAATCAATTTTAATTTCTGATAGAACATTCATATATGCAACCTCTAGTTCATACAGAAATCAGTTGTACAAACAAATAAGTATTTAAAATAGAATCTGTTATTTATTTTTAATTTTTAAAAGATTTTATTTATTTATTTGAGAGAAAGTGTGCCAGCTAGCATGAGCACAAGTCAGGGGTAGTGGCAGGGGCAGAGGGAGAGGGAGAGGCAGACTCCCCACTGAGGGACAAAATACAGGGCTCTATCTCAGGACCCATCACAATCTGAGCCAAAGGCAGTCTCTTAATTGAGTGAGGTACCTTGGTGCCCCAAGTAGAATCTGTTTTAAAGTGGTTCCTGGGGGTCAACTCTCCTGATGTCCCATTGAAATCAGTAATAATAAATAGTGAAGACAGAGTGAGAATCTACAATTCTGAATGCTGAAACACACTTCCTGGCATTCCACCTATTGGCCAGAGTATAGTATCATTTCCCATAAAGTTAAAGGACTATATATTAAAATATATGTATTGTGCACCTTACTTGCCTAAATTTGATAAGTAAATGGTTAGTCATTGGATCCACAACCAAAGAATTTTCCTAGTGCAATGACAAAGAGAGATAGAGAACTAGCAAAGGATAAATAAGATGTGATTTAGCCACAAATTAAATGAAAAAATTAATGCATTTTGGTTGCACATGGATGTTTATGGCAGATGTATTCATAATCACAAACCTCACAAACCTTGGAAGGCACCAAGATGCCCTACAGTAGCTGAATAAATAGATAAACTACTATACATCTGTAGAATGGAATATTATTCAGCACTAAAAAGAACCAAGCTAGTAAGGTAAGAAAATATATGCAAGAAACTTAAATGCATATTTCAGAGAGAAAAAAAATAAAACAATGTGAAGGGGCTACCTTTCGTAAGATTTCAACTGAGTCTTCCTCAACTTACAAGGGAGTTATGTCCCAGTAAACCCATCATAAGTTGAAAATGTCTTAAATCAAAATGCATGGAATACTCCAAACCTACCAAACCTCATAGCTTAGCCTAGCCTACCTTAACTGTGCTCAGAACACTTAAACATTATTTAGCCTAGAGTTGGCCAAAGTCATCAAATACAAGGTTTATTTTGTAATAAAGCATTGAATATGTCATGTCACTTATTAAATACTGTACTGCACGTGAAAAATGGAATGGCTATATGGGTACAGAATGGTTGTAAGTGTATTGATCATTGACCCTCGTGATTGCTTGGCTGACTGGGTGCTGCACCTCGCTGCCCCTGTCCAGCATCACAAGAGAGGATTGTATTGCATTTCAGTAGCCCGGGAAAAGACCTGAATTCAAAATTCAAAGCACAGTTTCTATGGCATGTGCATCACTTTTGTGCCATTGTAAAGTTGGAAAAGTGCAAATCAAACCATCGTAAGTTGGGGGCGTTCTATATATAGGACATTCTGGAAAAGGCAAAACTATGGAAACAGCAAAAAGAGCAGTCAGTGGATGCCAAGTTTTAGGGAGGGGAGGGGGATGAGTAGGTGGAGCACAGAGGATTTTTGGGGTAGGGAAACTGTTCTGCATGCCCCTGAATTTTGGATAATGTTACCATACATGTCAAAACCCACAGAATGCATCACCAAGGGTGAACTCTGATGTAAACTGTATTTTGCAAGATCAGGATGTGATGGTGTAGATTCATTTGATTGTAACACATGTAGAACTCTGGAGGGAGAAGTTGTCCCAGTGAGGGGGACAGGGGTGTATGGGATCTCTGGTTTCTGCTCTATTTTGTAGAGAAAGTAAAACTGCTCTAAAAAACAAAGTTTGTTAATCACAAAATACATTGCAGCACAATACCTAAAGGCAGTCATTTTGTAACTAAATGAAGAGTCTTCTGAAAAAAAATTTTCTAGTGAAAACAGATAATACTTTAAAACCTTACAAATTTAATGAAAGGCCTTTTGCTCATGCTTCATAGCATGTAAAAGAAGATCTCTTAAGACACACAGCAATTATGACATAGAAGGGACTAGATAGTGGAATGTTACAAAAAGGAACATACTTTTACATTAGGTAAATGCAAGGCAGGAGCTCCAAGCATTCTGGAGGAACCGTGCAAAGAAAGTGTGAATAGCAGGAAAAAATGATGAGGGAGAAAAAATTAAGTAGAGTTTTTATAACAAAGAGAAATTGGACAAACCAGCTTCTCAGTAGCTACTAAAAAAGAAACAAAAACTTTAGCAAGACTTGATTTATCTTTTGAAGGAACATCACAAAACATTTGTCAGTCTAAAGATTGAAAGGGCATGTGCTTAAAATGACCAACTTCGTTACTAGAAGAAAGATCATCTTCATGTGTAGAATGGATAGATAAATAAAATGAGCAATATCATGTAATCAACAATCAGATTAAAAGTCACAAATTGCCAGTACACCTGAAGTTCTCTTCATACTTCTTTAAAATCACCACCTTCGGAAAGTAATCACTATCTTCATCTATAAAACAAATTAAATTTACCTAGTGTTTGATTCTGTAGAAAAACAGTAATGCAGATTATTCTCTTCAGTGTCTATTTCTCATTATTATGTTTGTAAGTTTCATTCTTCATAGTTTATCTGTTTTCTGATTATTTTTATTGATTTGTAGTATCTCACTGAATGCATAATGACAGTCGATCCATTCTCTTGTTGCTAGACATTGAGACCATTTCCTATTTAACGATATTATGTGTGGAGCTGCTCTGAACATTTTGAAAAATGATGGTAAATATATATCATTTATTGATATGTGCTTTTTACAAAAGATGCTCCTAACCCCTTAGTGCACAAAAAAATTGAAACTAAAAGCATGAAAAAGGTAGGGTAGTCAAAATGTCTGAAAAAGCAATACATATACATAAATTATATGTATATACATAAAAGTATATGTATATATTATATATAATTTTAGGTATATATAATATATATACATATTTTTATGTATATACATATAATTACATATATTATATATACCTATAATTATATATTATAGATATACACATAATTTATATATACACATATATTGTATATGCACATATAATTATATATATTACATACATATAATTATATATTATATATACACATATAGTTATATATATTATATATATAAATAGGCTTTAAGGCAAGAACTACTACCAATTCTTAAAATCATTAAATACTGATAGCATTTGCAACACTGTAACATTTACATGTCTGAATGTGTATGCATATAGAAGGATATAGCAATTTGTTCCAAAATAATAAGCAGCACTCTATAGGTATATAAAAAACACTACACTCATCAGCTGTTGAGTGAATATGAGTTATTTAAAATAATTCATCCTATTGTATGCCACAAATACATTCTGAAAAAGTGTCAAATTATATGAGCCAATCAGAGCAACTTAGCTAATGATAATTCAGTTAAATTAGGAAACAATAATTAAAGGGTAAATTTCAACCTCAAATATATGGTAATTTAAAAACTTTTTTAAATAGAAAGTAAGTGAAAATAAATCATAATAGAAATTAGAGAATAATTAAAAATAAAATTGATAAAATTACTATTTATCAAACAGTATACCAAAGCTTATAGGTAAATCCCTTGCTTGTGTTAAAACACAAAATACACTATAACATCAATAAATGATTTGTTACCACCTAATTGTAACTACACTTGATATTAGCCAAAGCACAGGGTGTTGAATGTCAGTGTTGGACACTAAATTCTACACCTGAAATTAACATTACACTGTATGTTAACTAACTGGAATGAAAAATTTGAAACAAACAAAAATAAATAAATAAACAGAAAAAAAACAAATTCCACACCTGAAGCTAATATTACAGTGTGTGCTAAGTAACTGGAATTTAGATAAAAACTTGAAAAAAACCCTAATTGTAACAATACTCAAAATATTACTTATAAATACTTTAGAACAAACAACATATGATGTTGTTTGCCATTTGGGAAGGCAGTTTGTTATATTATGTTTAATATGTTATTTGTTCTAAAGTATTTATAAGTAATATTTACTTAAGTTATTCCTTTGGAATCAGGAAGAAGAATTGACACTTAATATCACCAGTTCATATTAACATTATTCAGTAGTATACTGAAGGTGCTAACCAATTCAGTAAGACAAACAAACCAAAGAAGAGTAATAAGGATTGTATCAACAATGAGTAGAATACTATTTCTGAGGATCCTACAGAAAGTATGAGTCATAGGACAATATTTTGAACATCTCTATATTAAATTTACAAAGACTGACAATGGCAACTGTTGGTGTGGTTGTAGAGAAACTGGAACTCTCATACATTGCTGGTGGAAATGTAACATAGCACCACCACTATTCTTACTATACAGTCCAGCAATCTGACTCCTTGGCGTTTACCCAAAGGAGTTGAAAACTTACATCCACAAAAAAAGCTGCACATGGATGTTTAACAGCAGCTTTATTCATAATTGTCCATACAATTTGAAGCAACCAACACATCCTTTAGTAGGTTAGGATAGATAAACTGCAACATCAGACAGTGGAGAATTATTCA